CTCCAAAAGAAGTCAAATAATCCGACGAGTTCAAATTTTTAGGAGCTTATACCTTTTAGCAACCAACAGTAAGGATTCTTAAATAAATACAGGCAAAAACTAGACAGGCAAAATGGCATGCAATCACTTTATGTTATTCATAGTCTGATTTCAAGACGTTTTTCCTCACGCCCTTTAAATTATGCAACAGCTGCACAGAAACCCAAACAAAACCCATCAAAAACTGCGACCTAGACCAAGCCTTAGCCTTTTTGGGTTAATGCAGGCTTACATCATTTCCATGCACCCAAATGCTCACCCACAAGAGATCCACTCTAAAAGCAATTTTCTAGCCGCACTTCATTTTATGTCAACTCATCGGAGCTTCAATAAGAGCGATGTCTAAATAAATATATACTTTCAGCTGTGGCGACTCCATCGAAATGACCAGAGTGGTTAAGTAAACAATAAAAGCTGGGCCACGATGGCAACTGGATCAATTAAGAGATCTGCTACTGTTCATCTGGAGAAGTCGGCTTGGACCAAAGGACATTTAATTTGCTAACCAGCTTATTTGGAATTTTCATCATAAATTCTTTTGGCATTTGCATTTAGCTAAGACAACTTGCGCCAAGCCAGTACAGATAAAACTAAAGATTTTAAATTGTTTTGTTTTGGATCATTGAATGCTTGAAAACAAAGTTTCGTATAGGAAATACGCTTACATCTTAAGCTTACTCTTAGATATACTCTAGTTAGTCGGATTATTGCTTAATTTAATATAATTTATTCATAACAACAAACAACAATAAAAGAAACCGAAATACAAATATGCAAAAAATTATAGAAACTATACAGACATACACTTGAACTTCGATTTTGGGTTAGGAAGGGCCTAAAGATTCCGTTTGTATGTATTGGAACTTTTGTTAAGACGGCGCTAATCACAAGGTTTATGGCATAAACCCTTCACATTAATTATACGCTCGTGTCTTTCGGCGACGGACTCTTTTATATTTATTGAATATTTTAGTTGGATATGCGGGTAAACCAGTTTTATTTCTGGGATAAGATTGTTAATTGTTTACTACTTTTAATTATGTTTTAGCCGAACCGTGGACTTGCAATTGTTTTATTTTTTTGTTGCCGAAAGGAAAACAGTAGCTTAGGTAGAAATAAAAATCCACACAAGTGGAAGTTGTTTAAGGGAGTTTTAACACTCATCAACCAATAATGTGTTAATGACTAATATAATTATCTTGGCATTTAAACTTGGTGCTCTCCAAAATGAACTTTAATTGCCTTGTTACCAAACAAATATTGCTAATTCCAGACACCTTAAAAATATTTATTTCCATCAACAGGCCATATTTTAAGGCCTTAAAACATATTATTAGTATTTTTATGGCAAGCACTTCGTCAAGTGTTATATGTTTAGTGGACAACTATAGTTTATTTTTATTAAACTTTAATTTCTTCGGTTGTAAGCAACTATTACCGATTTCAGACACCTAAAAATAAGTGATTTTCATCAACAATAATTATTTCAAGGTTTCAGAAATTTATTACTGAATCTTGGTCAAAAATTGGTCACAGTTGTAGCACAACGAATGTTAGTTTATTAATATAGAACAGTTGATTACAATTGTTTCGTTGCTGCATTTACAAAAAATTGTGTTAAATGTTCTTATTTAATAAATACGAAAAGGGATACCAATTTTTGCAAGACGAAGTTTTAATACTCTTGCTATCAAGGAATACATGCAAAAATATATAAAACCATTAGATATCAAACCATATAAAGCAAAAAAAAAAAACCGATATAAACAATATTCTTCGAAAACAACTAAAGCTATCAAATTTTACTCGACCGGAAAAATGTTTTTACATGGTCATAAACAAAAATACAATTTGGAAGATTTCAAGAATCTATCTCGTATCGTACGATTAGTAAGACATATGTTGTTGTTATACTATACCGCGAATATGGAAGGTTTTTCTGCTCTTAAATCTTACTCCCTAGGTGACTATTCAACGAATAAAGTACATACAATAATAATTGCATTTTTTTCTTTACCCTTCTCCTTTTTACCATTTTCCAGGAAGCTTGGCCAACTTTCCTGGCTCTTGGCCAGTTAAGTCAAGCCAATCAAGCCATATCCCAGTGACACCCACACTTTGTCCAGATGCCAGGCATCTGGTCTGGTCGGCGTCATTAGCCAGGTAACCCAATTAACCGGCAAAGACATAAAACGACAATATTTCTTAGTGCAATTGAATGCTCAAGAGACCCCTTCCCGCTCAGCCGCAGTGTTAGAAAGTGGCTCACTTTCGTTACACTGCACAACAAAGTCACGTTCCGCCAGCAAACACTCAACGCCGCACATAAAGAGCAGGAAGAATGCGTGTAATCGAATCTTGAAGACTGAAAAATAAACATGTTAATAATACAATTTTATGATTAATACGAAATGAACTGCAGTCGTGGCGAAGAAGGGCGGGGTAGTGCTGGGAAGGGCGGGGAAGGGCAGGGGAAGGGGCAGGGGAATTCGGCGGAGGAGATGATGTTGCTGTTGTGCCGTCGAAAAGTGCGTGGGCCGTCTTACCTCGTAACCACTGAAGATGCTGGGATGGGAACAACTTGAGCGGATTTGGACGAGAGGGAGCGGTGGCGATGGCGGTGGCGGCGAGGCTTATTTATAAATCACGCACATAATGAAATTTCAGCAAGTGGTCGCCGCTGTCCGAAAAAGCGGCAAAATATGCAGCGTTGATGTGGGATAGCATCTCGGGGTGTGGTGTCCGTGTCCGCAGTGCATGATATATGCATATATGCACATCTGCATAAAGCTGCACTCCAGCTGTCCGACTGTCCGCTGACATGCCGGCGACATAATGACGAACAGGTCGCGGCAATCTCCAACTCCCCCTTAGATACTGTCGTGTTACGCATCAGTCTCTTGTCAAAGAATGGAGGGATGGGGACCGCCGAAAGAGGGGACACTTGTACTGCATAAGTAGCCATTAATAGGTGCCATATGCATATCGTTTTGGGGTCTAGTTTTTACGAGTAGTTCGCTTGTTTTAAATGACTGCAGAGCGTGCCGTTTATTTACGATCTTCTTTCCAAATAAGCGAATGTCTGGCCCCGGCAACGTCTCCCTTCAGATGTGAGGATACCGATCGCGATGCGGCAGTGGAGGAGGCCGAAAAACAAGCCTGGACGCATTATCGAAAAAGGGTTCACACGAATTCGATTTAATGGCCTTAAACAGTTCTACATTGTATGTAAGCATGTTTCGGAATTGAATTTCGGTTTAATGACTCAAACATTGCTAGCTTTAAGCAGGCAGTCCAACTTCCCTCATAATATTTGACCAATTTATCAGCATTCTAAGCATTCTAAGGTAAATCGATCAATTAATATTATTTTATAACCTATGATTTACATACATTTATGCGCTTAGTAAACATTAAAAGGAAAATAAAATCCTTGTATAAAGGAAAGGAACATCATAACATCTGTAATTGAGTGCATAAAATTGATTCGTCAGCCAAAAATGGTCCATAAGTTTCAGTGAATACTACTTGTACGACATATTGGCCAGTTATATTTTTGTTGCCAATATTTTAATCGCATTTTAACAAGAAATGACTAGAAGTAGGCTGGCACACAGGGTTTTTCTATCGGTTAAAAAAGGTATGTTCTTGATTGTTTAAGGGATTATTTAAACATAAAATATAGTTTAAAAATATATGTAAAAAAAGCACAAAATAACACATTTTTTGTCGATTTTTTTTTGCTGTATCTTAAAGGCAAAGGCAATTTACTATAATGTTTCTATTTAGTTAGTTTATTTAAAAAAATAATAATAATAACACACATAATCCTAAGGCATATCCATATTTATGGATTTTGATCCTCACTTTTGTGTTCGGAAATCGAAGCGGGTTATCATATCTCAAAGCCCATTACCACTATCCACTCACTTCCTCAATTATTCGATGGCGCTCTGGCCACACTGTCGATGTTTACGCAAATTTCGCACGTGGGCGTCTCGGCTTACTCACGCGTCAAATCAAAAGCAACACAACACAACACAACACAACACAAACGAAGACAAAATGCTGCTGCTGCTGCTGCGACGTCAAGTTTCTTCGCAGCAGCAGCACAACTAAGGCGCAACAAGTCAACAGCTGAGAACAAACAAACTGCAGAAAGGCAACAACAAGTTGTCGCTGTCTCGGTCGACTGCGACGCCGACAGCGCTGCCTCTGCCTCTGCCGGCGCTGAGACTCGATTACTCCCTTCGCATTTCAAAATTTGTAGTTTCAGTTCGCGTTGGCACGTTGAACAAGACGGTACGTGTTTGTGGTCCTTCGATAAATGATCAGTGGTCAGTGATCGGTAATCGGTGATCGGTGATCACCTGGTGGAGGATCTCCATATTAATCAGTCTCATTGTATTTTAATCGTGCGAATTGCCGGAACCCTATGACGGTTCCTAAGTGTGTTGTTCAAATCACCGACTATAAAATTCAAAACACCGATCCCCAAGCAGCATCCTCCAGCTCCACTGCCATTTCCAAGGTGTCCAAGATCGCGACGCGTTCGCCTGCTCGCTGTTAATAGCACAAAAGTGTTTTAATTTTTATTGGCACGAACGGGGCGAGTCAGTTGTGGAGCAGTTGTCGTTGCCGGAGGATCGCGTCGCGTGTTCGCCTCCTCGCTTCTTGGTCCCATAAAATCAGCTCCACGCCATCTTCGCGTGTGTCCCCATTCCACCTTCTACCTGGTGTATTTTGAAAAGGGTTTAATTTATCTAATGCATCCGTTTCGTTATCGATTCTTTTAGTGTGAAGAGCCTGCGATTTGTTTGATCTTTGGGTCAGCAGAAATAATAAAAGTGTCTGTGTGTGCGGCCGTCTAGGAAGCGACGGAAAAGTGTGGAAATAGTCGTGAAAATAACTCAAGTCGTTTCCATTCTAAATTGCGCGTTGACAGCCGCAAGTGACGCAAACAACCAACAACCCCACCACAAGGAGCTGTCAGTCCCGCCAAGCAATTTACTTGGATCCGCTTCGGCAGTGGGGCACTTCTTAGAGACACGAGCAACGTCCTTGACCAAGAGGTGAGTGTGAAGGTGGGCCATAGCCATATCTCCATGCTGGAGGCGCTCAGGAGTGTGCTTTAAATAGGCCATGTGTGGCCAAAATCTGGGTTAGCCTAGTCACTGGCGAAGTAAGGGCGAAGAGTGGTCAATAGCAAGAATGGTTCTTTATTTAATTATTTCTTATCTAGTTGTACTCCAAAAATAGAGTAGCGATTAAATTCATGTCAAAAAAAGCTTAAAAGAAAATATTTTAAAATGGTTTTAATCATATATAACTTTATAATTTTATTATTTTTTAAAAAATAAAATTAAATTGGTAGACCATTTTTAAAATGCTTTAAAATGACTATTAAATCATAAACTTCTTTTGCCCTGTGTTATTAAACGTCATTCAATGTTTAAAATATTTTATAATACACTTGCAACACTAGACTGTTTTCAATTGTTAGTAAGAATTATAGCAAACTGTTAGTTGGATGTATTACTTAGCACACTTAAATATTATTAAGCAACTCTTTAGTTTTGGTGATATTTAATTAGCATACTCATTTTGCTTATCGTTTGCAATTTATAATATTCGGTTCATTGTTACAGTATTAAACCAAAAACAATTAAAACCGTGTAGAGATCTCAGATTAAACTCCTCTTTATTCGACTTTATTGCACGATCATCGCCGTCTTGTTGAAAGGCCCATTTATGAATATTAAACCGCCATTTTTATCTGATGATTAATAATGCTAATTGTTGTTGTAATTCAAATACTATCGATACATATTAATTAGCCACACCCAATTCAACCGCAATCTCGCCGCTAAATCGGCCTGGGGCATCCACAGAGACCGAACGACATTAATCTATTGGAGATCTTGAGTTCTCATCTGCATTGGCGCCATAAATACTGCAGTCGAGTCATAATTTATTAATTATCGGACTTTCCACACATCTTAAAGCAAGCCGATTGAGGTTTATGCTTTTGGAGAACTATCATTATGTGACCATATGAGGCAAGAGCAAAGAATACTGTTGTCCACCAAATATGAATTGTTGTCTAATACAGCAGCCACAGATTGTTAAAGACCGACCAAATTAAGCTGAAACCATTCCCCAATTTATTGTATTTGTTTAATTTTATTTGTCTCGATTTCACAATCACTTTGGCGTTTCTACTGGGCTTCCATCTGCTCTGCTACCCAATTCCAAGCAATTCAATTAAACGACGCCCACATCAGAGATCTCCATAACAATTTATAACTGCCTTTTCGAAGCACATCTTAGACTTGTGGCTATTTTATTATTTTAGCATATTATTCAAAGTCAGTGACGACATGGCCTTAAAGAGATAGTAATTAATATTTAAATGATACCTCAAACAAAACCCCAGCGTCTTTAATCAGAGCATTAAAATAATAATTTATTTATTTGGTTACTGCTTGTTTTTGTTGAAGCTAAACTTTCTTTTCAATTGTCAATTCAGATCGATTCAGTTATGCAATGAGAAGTGACAAAAATTTCTGTGGGTAAATAAATCTTTAACTATTCCGTATTGTATTTTGGATGGCTCTGTCCAAGCATTGATATGTTACTACCACACACAGATGGCTCCTTAGACATGGTAATATCTTTCTGACCATATATAGAGCTTGAGTTTGACATTATTAAAACATAAATAATATTGCCATTGTTGGTATTGGAATTTCCGCTTGGCAGCGAGTTATGAGTTCATAAACAAATGCAAATTAAGTGGAAAATTGTTGCACCAGCAAATTAGCGCATCGTCAGAGAAAAGTCATTTAGACACCAATATCCGACCTTATGCGGCGAATCAGGCTAACAAATTATAATGTTTTGTATTGGCTTGATCTTATATTTGCAATTCAAATAAAGCTCAGTCACAATGGAAGCTGAGGCTTTTTGTGTTGGTTGTTTAGACTAGCGGCGTCAAAACTGATTCAAGTCAAATGGAGGCGCAGACTTCGTTTTAATGGCTCATCAACATAAGTTAATGGGTTTTCGGTTTTGGCCTAATGATAGATTAAACACATTCTCAAACGATTTTACCAGATCGCTAACTAAAAAATGAGCCAAAACATAAACCTTTACAGGGCTGGAAAGATATAATTAATAATGGGTCGACCAACGTAAAGAAAGAATACCTTTCATAAAATTTCAGTATAATTAGATATTCTGCGCAGATATACAAATATTTAAATGACTGATAGCAAGGCGTTGTCTTACCAACACCTGCCAAACATCATTTAATTATATAGCAGCCATATTCCTATCATGATGATAGCTGAATCTTATGAGTTAAAATACGTTTTGGGACGGATTCTATGTTCTGGCCATAATTATAAATAATGTTGCTTTATCACTTATAATTTATTCATCGTGTATGTTTAGTTAATCGCTTGAGTTTCAACATATTTAATTAGCATTAGATCAAAGATAACCGTCACAAGGTAAATCCCAAACTATATTTTTAAAACTTACAATTTTTTCATGCATATCTTACACCTATAATTTCTAATCTTGTTTTTCCGATTGTGGAACTTGTCAGGTTGCAATTACCATATAAGAAAACTCCATCACCCGGTATGTAATTGACAGACCTTTCAATGTTTTGAAATAGGACTCCACAAAAAACCTGAACACATTTCCAGCTGTCAACTACTGCATTTTTGTGGAAAATAAATAGTCAAAAACTGAATGAGAAAAATTCGACAAAAAGACCGAGCCGAAATTCAAATCGATACAGATACAGAAATCAATAAAATGAGGACGTCAAGTGCCTCTCGAGTCTATTGAGCTCGATTTGGACTCCAATCTTAATCTTGACACTTTCAAAACATCGATGGAAAAAATGGTTGGCTTGCGCCGGAAGTTATACAAAGTCTATTATGACGAAACCAATTTATCAGCCAGCCAAAATCAATTCAGTTTGCTGCCTCCAATTATAAGGTGCCTGGAAAAAATTAAACAAAGCCTGAAGAAAGTTGGCTGCAAATGAAAAGCCGCTGAAGAATTTCCCTAAGTGGCTAAGCCGCTCTTTCCCTCGATTTTTCACTCTTTCTCGCCGCTCGTGATGCGTAGGCGCCGGCATAGATTTTTTTCATGTCAAGCCAGCCACTGACAGCAGGTTTGCCAGCCGTTCGGAGCTCCAACTCGAACTGAAGTTTTTGGCTGGGCATTTAAGCGCGGCTGATTTGATTTCAGTGACACGACGCCTGCGGCGGCAGCGAAACTTGTCCTGCCCACACGCGACTGCGGCCAACAGCCATCAGCCAACATCCAACAGCCAAAAGCCAACAGCCGCGCATGCGCAGTAGCTTCGCGAGCGTTTTCCGCTTCGTCTTATTTTTGCGCCGTTTTAAACGCCCTGGGGGACGCGAACACTACGGTTGCATGCTGGCGCGATCGGCGAGAGAGTCAAAATATTTAAATTTCTAATGCCTGACGAGGGCCGGCACAAGAGAGTATCATTAAATCATCCGAATCACAAAGACAATTGAGTGGCTTGGCCTTGCTATTTATTTAAAAATAAAAACAAACCACTGAGTATGTAAATAAGCCTTTTCAAAAACAGCTAAAAAAAGTATTTCTGCTGTTAGAATCCCATCCTCTTTTACGCGCCTTCTTAAGTTGCTGATTTAAAACCCCTCTCCTCGTCATGTATAGCAAAATCGGTAAAGCTTATTTCATTGAATTTTTCAATATATATCTTAACGTGCTAACTAGGTATAAAGTTAAAAAAAATTGATTATTTTTAAAGCTTTAGATTGCACGTTATTTAGCGGTTTCTTACACCCAAAAAAAAAGTAATAAAAACTAAACTATTGTTACATGAATTTTAAACTTTTAGGTATGAAAAATTTCTTAACAAGATGAGTATTAAATTTATAAATAAATAAATAAATAATTAATAAATAAGGCCTTAGACTAAAGGTTTACACCGTTCGGTATAGAAATGTAGTAAAGTTAAATTTTTAAGACTTACTTATTAAAACTAAACTTTAAGAATTAGTTGGTATGCTGTTTTCAGATAAATACATACATAATTGTTAATTAAAAAGAATTTGTTTCATCATTTTAATTGGTCTCAACTTAGGCAATGCAGTGTCGCTATTTTTACCTAGCCTTTGGGTAAGAGCAAATAGTACCTTTTCCATTGCATTAATCACTTTTTGTTATTATAGGCTACAATAATATTATCGTAGGGTATAGATTTTGATGTGAAAGTATAGGACTGAAAAGCAAATCAAATATTTTTGGATCCGAGTGGAACTACGATTAATTGCAGTCCACCTCTTTTACTTATTGTATAATAAATACCGCTAGAACATCCCTCGTGACAACTGGCTATCCAGGGTTCTCGTTTCCCTACCGCCCATCTCTCCGGCCTGCCATTCAATCTGAGGAAAATGACTTTTCGATAAGCATCAAATTTCCTTTGATGATAGGCCAAAGACGCCTTTGTCACTGTCGTCTGCCGGTGACGCTAAACTTGTTCGATCGGCTCGGATCAGCGAGGGGTCTAAGCCGGCTAGTGGGTGAAGATGCCGTCTAAAAACCCCATCCAATCCAACCCTTTCAGTTGCGGTTTTGGTTGCCGGTTGATCGCTTTGCGGCTTCCGTGTGTGTTTGGCTTTGCTTAATTAAATGTCAATCAATGTACTCGGCGGTTTATGGAGACAGACTTTGTTTCTGATTTGTCCGCTTTACTGAGTAGATCTGGCGTCGTCTTCATAAAGCTGACGATGCTGCTGTTGACTCTTGGCGTCCGCATGGCGAGATTTTGCTTTGGGCCCCCAAGTTGACGACTGCGTGGGCGCTGGACAAAGATATATTCTCGGCCTATGCATGATCTACGCCGAACCGATGGCATTAAAAAGTATTTAATAAATTTCTGGCCCGAGGATTATGTGTTTAGGTGAACATTGGAAGGTGTTTCCACTTCTGATTTCGGGTTTTCTTTATGTTCGAGGCGGATTACTCGGTTGACATTTGGTGGGAAACGTTCTGGCTGCGATTGGGACGGATCGGTAGCCGGCGGACTACTTAACTGGATATTAATAAACGTTTCAATGAACACTTGGCACAGATCTCAGGCATTACGCTTGGGTTAAGTTCTTGATAACCTTTCCCAGAATTCGAAGTAGATGACAAACTTTGACGTCTTAAGACTAAGAACTTATGGGAATGATTGGACGAAATCTTTTTCATCTGGTATAATCTGACTAACATTTGTTGAATTTTTTGCCCTATCCCCCGCAGATTAATATCTTTTCCAACTGAAAAAAGATTTATTTCAACGATTATGTCAGTGATTTTTGGTTGTTGGGCATATGCCCCTCATAAGATACAACAATACCACTTAATTTTTGGATAAATGGCTCTTTATAGTTATTTAATATACGAGTATAATCTGATCAAAAAATGGAATAATAAAAATTAATATCTGACTATTGAACATAAAACGTTTATTTAAATACTAAAATCCAATATGAAATCTAAATTTTAAATACAATGAAAATTAAATTTCATAATTTTGAGAGAAACTTTATATATATTCCTTTTTTATATAGAAAACTTGTATTTATAGAAAACTTAGCCCACAATAAAATTCGTTTTCCTTATGTGGCAGGGTTTTCAACTGGCAATCATGATATGTCTAGGGGAATAAAAACCCTACAATATTTTCGAATGATCCCAGTCCGGGATCTGCCACCGTTTCTTCCCATTTTATTGCTTGGAGAGACCCATGCTCTGGTAATTGCGATTACACCCATAAATGGAACCGATCCTACAGCCCGTCCACTTGTGACTCAGTGACATTGTAGCCAAGAGAACGAGAAGTCAACAACAGCAATAACAACTGCCACTATAAATCCATAACTGTCAGTCAACATTTTGGACCAGTATCGGAGAAGTTGTCGTCGTGTCTTGTATGGCCAGAACGCCATTTGCTTTTGGCCCGGTTGCGACTATGGGTCTCAATGGCTGGCTGGAGCATCGGCGACCGTTACCACATTCCTGGGACACCTCGAGCCAAAGCCAACAACATCTCGGCCACATTTCTCGTGTTTATTTAACCATGAAAGTTGTGTAATGGCTGGGAGTTGGAGGATCCGCTCTGGGCTGGCCTGAAGCTCTCTATCAATTGGACTTGTGTGCCATGCCGTTTATAACACTTCCTGACGTTTGTGGCTGCTCAAGTGATGAGTCAAATGTTTAATTGCAACTGCGTATTTTCGGGTGATAAGTGTGGAGTCCTCAACCCGTTTTCTAATTCGTTTTACGACTTCTGCTTGGTCAATCAGAGAGTAATTATTTACACAAGAGATATAGTTCTACACCCTATTTTATTTTATGGATCGTTAAATACTGAATTTATGATCCCTAAAGGAGGTGAAAGCTTTTGCGAGTCAAGGAGTTTGTTTAATGGCGTTTTTTAAAGAAAGCAGATGGGAAAAAATGGAGTTGCAAAATAGTTGTAGATCACATCCTCATAAAATTGTTTAAATCATAAATTTAATTAGGTAAACCCAATTATGCCTAGCCCTTCTAAGAATTGGTCCCAAATACCCAAAATTCATCACCTTACGTAGAGTTTCCATCAACTCTTCCCCGAAACTTCCGCTGGGAAAGCACCTGAAAACACACCCAGGAGAAAACAAGTCTGAACACACACATTAAATAAACATTTATTTAAGTTAAAAGAGGCATGCAAGGAAGAATGATTGCGAATATCCAACATAAATCTTAGAAAGCTCAAAGAATCCACAATGGGCACCCAAGAAAATTACAACAAGAAATAAAAACTTAAGCTCCGAAATGCTTTATGATGATGACGCCCACAGATGGCCAAATAGATGAAAGATTTCGGGGGGGCGAGCTATACAAATATATTTAAGCAGATATATATAGGTGATACCCGACCAAGTACTTCCGGCAGAGTAGGGAGCGAAAATTAAAGGGGGAGTTGGACAAGCTTGTTGAAAATTTCAAAAATGCAAAATATTTATCTATCGCCCTGTTCTGCTGCTCTGTTCTGGTTAACTCGTTTCTGGCTAAACAGATTACCTTTCAATTTTATTTATTTTCTTGTATACGCTGCTATTGCAGTGCAGTGTTTTTTACCGAGGCATTTTATTTTTAAACGCAAATAAACAACCACCGGTTGAGCACCAAGAACTGATTTTCTTCGCTTTATCGTTTCTTTCTTTTATTTATATTTCAGCGGACGGACAGATTCTGGAGTGAGGAGCCGGCACCCCCGCCCTTCACCCAAAAATACGGAAGACAACACCAACAACGACAACAACGACGACGACAACGATGAATTGGACGCGCGTGCTGCTAATCGGGTTGACCGCCTTGGCGCTGACATTTCTGGAGGTTGCATCACTCTCACTCGATCCAGGTAAGTGCCAGCGATCCACCTTCCCCGCACTTTGCATTCCAGTAAACTCTTTTGCACTGGGAATAAATGGGTTAATGTTGCACCTGAATTCAGATGAAGAAATCGTTGCTCTCCTGTTATTTTGGGTTTATAAGTAAAATTCACCGTTAATCAAGCTGTTTCCTATTTCGTCACTTAAAAGGTTACATACAGTAAAATTTAAAAAACTTTAATTTTTTTTCAATTTTATTTTTCTAATGTTCATATATTTAAGAACGCACACAGAAAATTTCATATCGATCCGCTGCTTGAAAGTACAAAGTACAAACTTTAAACGCGTTTCTCTCAAAATTATGTTTTCGAAATCGGTGACCAACATTACTCGAAAACGGATAAGTCGACTAGTCTCAAATTTAAACACGAGCTTTTTAAATATATTTTTTAATAAATAATCGAAGATTTTCTCTCAACGATACTTTTCTTTTATAATCAATTCAAGCACTTAGTTTTGGTGAAAAATACCTTATTTTTACGAAACGACATTTAGTTAAAAAATGTTGTTGCTTGTTTCTTAGATTATTTACTAAATTTAACGTTACTTTGACGAAATCTGTTTGTTCTCCCGGAGATCAGCTAGCTTCTTCAGTAGCTTCTTTCAAAACAAAATTTTTTCTGAATCTTCCAATACAGTTAAAAGATACCATAATATGTGAAGAAATTCTATGGTTAGTTTATTTAGGTATTCACAGAATATGTTCTGGAAAACTAGTTTTCCCCCGTAAAGTAATTTTGTAAATGAAATGTTATTGTTACATACTCAAAATCGCCTTGGAACTAGTTTAATAGAACAACAGAAGTTCGCAAAAATTAAATTGATTTAAAGTTTAAGCACACATTTTTGGTCAATATGAGATTTAAGTTAAATGAGATATTATAAAATGAGTTTTAGTTGCACAGTGTATGCACACATTTGTACAGTTTTTATAGTTAGTCAAGCGACTGCTTGCAATGGCACCGTCGTCAATGTTTGTCGAGAAACGCCCGAAAGACATACTTTTGGTTACCAACTTGGCGATTTATGTAAATGTCGAACTCAAATCCCAATGCAAACGTCGCCAACTGACAGTCGGGTCACTAGTTGTGGAGCTGGTGACCTCCCTGGTCCGTAGATGGTGATATTTCAGGCCGATTGCGAATGGGGGCCCTGGCCGGACCATCTCGCGACTGGAAATCGCGACTTTTATGCCCATGTCCCAGGTCCACCTCCATGTCCATGTCCATGTCCATGTCCACATTCACGTCGTGAAGGTCAGCTGGCATGAGGCTGTCACAAGTCGGTCGCTGCCAGCATGACAAATAACCGCACAAATGCGTGAAATTCTATATAGAGTCGTCTTGATGGATTCTTTTGCCCCACGGATTGTGCAAATACGGATCGGTCCCGATTATGTCTCGTGTGTGTATTTGGGTTAACACGGCCCGCGGTATTAGAGGCAATCTCCCCGGGTGACCAAAATAAATAGGCCCATGTTCCGTGTCCGAGGTGTTGTAATCCGTGGCAGGCGAAAAAACCGATTGCCAATGTTTGTGGGCAAATAGAGCAAGTGGCTAAGACTCGGTTTACTTGAAGAGATTAATAAACATGACCCAATGAGGATTTGGGTACCTTAAGGCTTTATCACTGTTCGCATTTTGTTGTTTGTTTGGTAATCAATATGTGTGGCTCCGGCAGAACGGAAGTTGATCCTAACAGTTTCGAATGTGATCACCGAAAACTGATCGAGATAAGGCACGAACCTTTGCAATACTTTAAAAATGTTCCTGAGAATGTCAGCGAGAATTTAGATTGCCTTTGCAGAGAATAATATTCCCCGTCTGTGCATAGACATTCTGCTAAACATAATTTATTAAATAAACTGATAATACTTTTTTTTTCTGAAACCGATATTGATGTATTATTTTTTTCTCACCCACAGTTGCTTCTGCCGAACTGGAACAGTTCATTCGAAAAGGAGATGTCGTCATATCAACGCGTCACATACGGTAAGAAACTACCACCTATTTGAAAGGAATCATTTGTTATTCCCCTTCATAGAAAGGGAAATAAATCAAATATTGGAATTATAAAGGTATCTGCAAGGTGTCCACTATCCTCAAGCTTTTCGAAAACGTTATTATCCCCCATTTGCAACATTATCGTAGATCGATTATATCTCAATGTCAGCATGGACTTATAACACGTAGGTCTACTACGAGCTAAATGTTTGGAGCTAACATCGAACGTTATAAATGGCTTTAGCAATAACCTTCAGACTGACGTAGTGTTCACGGATTTTAGCAAGGCTTTTGATTCCGTTAATCATTTGCTTCCTGTACGGAAGTTAGGGTTTAATATCTGCTTAAATGAATTTCGAGACCTTTTTAAAAGCTCGGTCTCTAAGCTGATCCAAATTACTTCAGGCGTACCACATGGAAGCCACCTTGGCCCACTTCTTTTTACATTATTATTAACGATCTCCCTTTATCTTGACAAAGTCGCGCGTCCACACAAATGACATTTGAGTTGACTAGAACTAACAAATTTATAACCTTGGCGTCCTTCTGGACCCAAAACTTTAATTTGTTGATCACGTTTCATCCTTGGTGAATAAAGCCAGGGAAGTGCTAGGATTTATAAAAAGGTGGATTTATAAAAGGAATTCGATGATCCGTATGTCACAAAACCAATTTTGTATTGCTTTTAATTGTAAACTTATTCAGGGGTATGTGTAGTATACAGAACAACTTGTCCGCCTACAATTCTCAGTGCCTATTCGTATCACTGGGAACTATATTCCCCTTATTTTGAAACATTGTAGATCAAACTATGATATGCATGAACCATTTAGAGTGCTGTGCAATAGCTATAGTAAACTTTATCATATTATTTATAGTACTGACCCTTTACCAATTTCAAAAGCATTATTCTTATCTTATTACACATATTTAGTATTATTAGTTGTTATTTTAGTTTGGTATATATCTGGAATTGGTCTGTTTACTGTCCCTCTTCTTTCACCTCTCGTGATCTCGTTTTTATGACCCGATGGGAAGAGGGCTCCGCGCGTAACAAGCTTTGCTTGGTGTCGTAAGGACCATTTATTTGTACTGATCATAGTGCATCAACGTCCAAATATTATAAAAAAACAATACTGACTGATGCTCCTCACCTATTAGACCTCGTCGAAAGTTGCACATCTCCATAGAAGCCCTCTTTATGATCGACTTCCCCATGCTGAAGCACAAGATGTCTTTCTTCCTGGACCGCAAGCAGCAGCGGGTTACGCTGGACATCAGTGCGAATGGAGCCACCGAGTCCCGGAACTTCGACATCCCCAACATCAACGAGACGAGCACCATCCGATCGCTGGCGCTGCAGTTCTCCAAGAACCGCATTACACTCTATGTGGACTGCAAGGCGAGCACGCATCACGACATCGACATGAACCTGGCCAAACTGTACACCCAGATGGACGATCCGGTGATCAAGTTGGTGAGTGCATGGGCTCTGCCGCCAGTGGGGCCGAAAGTGAGTGACCCATTTCGTTGACAGTTCCGTGAGCGCAAGTATCCCCTCCACTTCGACGGCGACATGGAGCACTCCCTGCAGCGGGCCAACTGCCAGAAGGGCATGCAACGGCGGGGCAATCGCCGCATGCTGCGCAACAAGATCACCGAGCGTGGTGAGTAGTCCCTGACAGCCCACTCGGTTATGGGCAGTCTCAGGTTCCTTATACCTTCTAGGTAAAAAAAATATGAGGCTACTTGTTACCTTTCCCAGTTAGAGGTCTGTGTTTATCTTAAGAATGAGCTATTTTAGGTATTTAGCTATGAAATATTTTTATTTATTTTTAATTTCCAATGAGTTTAAAACAACTTAATCCAATTTTTTATTTATTTCGCAAATATGCTAACAAAAAAATCATTACTTCAATGTAACTTGAAGATAAGTTGGTGGAATCAATAAGCAAGATATAGTTATGTTACTTTTGACACGTTTTTATAACCATCTTAACTGCCAGATCAAATACAAAATATTATAATTACACTGCAACTTCGATATATTGATCTCAAAATGATTATTTTTTTTTAAATATTTACCTTACCTAAATATATTTTACTTAACTCAAGTATATATTTTCACAAATATCCAAAAAACTAGTACCTTATCCAACAATGGAATGGAACAACGGAATATGGATCTATTTGACTGGAATTCGAAGTTTTCTTTGAATGAAACATTTCTGGTCATACAACCCATTCATTTCTTTTCTAATACTCCAAGTTTTGTAAAAAAAATTTAGCTCATCAACTATTCTAATTTATTGAGAAATATATTAGATATTTTAGCTTTCACGTTTAAAAAAATTTTGGATACGATTACTAGTCACAGATTAATTTATGGTAATATGAAACCAAAATTATTAATTAGTTTAGACAAACAGACATAAATGAAATTACTCAAACAACGAAAACTTACAAATTTCACTACAATTTTATATCCATATATTTTGGATAATATGGCATAAAACCTCTTATTTTTGTCTTGGCTTATTTATTTTATTATTATTTATTTATTTTAATTAGATTATAATCTAATTAAATTTATTCCTTTTATATTTTCCTTTTCGTGCCAATCATTGCAGAGAAGAACAAGAAGCGCGACGTCCGCGGCTGGTATGAGCCAACGATCGCCCGGGAAGGTGTCGTGGACCACAGACACCAGGAGGTGCCCACGGACGTGGAGCGCGGAGACATTCCCGTTCTGCATGGCGATTGCGAAGGTAGGTTGCTGGGCAACTGTATGGCGCTCAGCCCAACCACCCATCACCATCACCTCGGCAGTCAGTTTTCAACTGTCAGTCGGTAGTCCACAGGCAGTCAACGGATCTTCGCCCAGAGGCGTGGTCCCTTCCAAGTCGAGGGCTTCCTACGGCTCCGAGGGTTGGGCTGGTGCTAGATTAGGTGCTCGCTTTGACGAAATTATTTGGCTTTTGGCAGTTGGCGTTTATGCCACTCGAGCAACATAATTCAATTAAGCCAATGTGGTGGAGCAACCTGAAATGGGGTACGTGTGTGGGTTGGGGAACTGATTCGGATGACTATTGCGTCGAGTGGGGGCTTGAAATTTCAATGGCATGTGCAAGTGAATGAACGAGGCCTTGACAAGCATTGAAGGCATTCTCAATGCAATGCTTGTAGAACGCCTTCATAACATATATACGTGGCAAGCCATTCTATAGTCGAATCTGTACAACACGGAAGTTACTTATCAATTTCATATTCTTGCTGCTCTCAGGTATCTCAAATTCTATAAATAACCGAATTTTGAGAGTGACAGAATCAGTTGTTCTGAATGAGGAGAAAACAACTCTGTCAAAATGAGAGAACTGAAGTTGATTAATAATGAATAGAATAAGGAGACCAATATGTGGGTTGCGAAAACAAAACGCCGCAAGTTTAGCTCTAGAAGTATCAAGTGAGCCATGTGTGTAAGTCAGCTCTAAAAGTTAATATCCATTTTGTACCCTTCTCCCTTACCAAGTTGCTTGTCCTTGAGCATTATGCTCTTTATTAGGTCGCCTTCGCTTAACTCGCTAATGCCTTATAAATCTGGCAAGCAATTAATAATATCTAGCTGTGTAATATAGCTATAAGTACCCTCATCGATGTCGCCGACTTGGCCAATAAGCCGCCGCTAAGTGATCACAGTCTGTTATATCGGGAGAGGATGCCGGATTTCGAGGCGCCCACAGAGCAGAAACACTAATGAACGTCGAGATATGACAAAGCCCATGCAAAAGCTGCACTCGTTTCGTACTTTGCCTGGTGTCGAGCCGGCATAATTATTATTTATCTGGCTCAGAGCAGAGACACCAAATTGGTAGCCAGCTCCGATCTGTACCCACACAATCTACATACCGACATGTGGTCTGGGTTTTACACAGTAAAAATAAAAGGACTCCCTTTATAAGTGATCAAACAAATACACATCAAATATTGTAGCGAGGTAAGAAAATCGTAACGATCGAACCTTATAGATCTTCGATTTACAATTCGTTCACGAAAAGGGTAATTTGGACCAATACATATTTTTATCTGATCGGACAATAGGATTTTTAGAGAAGTCTGTATTCGTCACTACCTCAACTATTATCCACATTAAAATTTGAAAGTTTTTCTCTATTCTTGCAGTGGGTATTATAATTTCAGTCAGAAGTTTCCCTATAAAGTATATATGTTCTTGATAAGTATCACTCAGTCTCAGTAAGTATCTCAGTCTCTCAGTCTTAAATATCTGCATGAATCTTTTCCAAAAGTTGTCTTTTTATTGCAACAATCGGAAAAATAAATGGAAAAAATTATTAGTTTGCTGTTTTCTAACTTTTTTTTGTTTCTCAAGATGTAGTATTTGCTAAAAAAAATGTAACTTCTCAATTTAAAATTTTTTTTTTTTAATTCTTTTTGACTAAGTAGTAATTAGATAGTTCAGAATTACGTTTTTAGATTCATTTAAAATCGGAAAACGATATCATATAGCTGGCATAGGATCGATCGAATAATTAAACGGGAAATCACCATAGCTTCAATGTTATAAAACATACAAGCATATAAATTAAAATTTAGATGTTTTAAAGAGTTTTTTAGTTTTTGCAATATCTATATGTTTTGTTTGAAATTCGAAAATGTTTTGAATTTTTTATAAGATTTATATTGATACGTGTTTTAACACACTAAACTAGAACGCTTTTGTTTTCCGAGTGTAGTTGACGTGAGTACGGGGCGGCATATAAATCGCAAAGGCAACGACAACGGCATATCGTAATGAATGAATTACGTGGCCACGCCGACGACAAACAGATAGAAGCGAAGGTTGCCCAATGTAACCAAGTCGAGATCGGGATTGCTGAGGCGAGGACCCGAGATGGTGGAGCGGAATGAGAGGCCCCCGATCCGAGTTGGAACGGATGCGTTTGGGCGTTCAATGTTTTCAATGTTGACAAAACTCACTCAGGCACTCGGCCAGGGAAACCGACAAAGTCACACAGATGTGCCCATAGAACCGACCACTAAGTTGGACTAGTTTAGTTGTTGTCATGTGTCCTACATGGTGTTGTACAACCTAAGAGGCCTAGAGATGACAGATCTAGAAGCGATATATTGCAGACTTTACAAGGATTACGATGAGAAATTAAGATATCATGAAATTCTAGACCATTTATAGAGGTTTCAGCATTAAAAACAACTCAATTCGGTGTGATTGGCTTTTTGCTTGTTTAAGGTATGAGTCTGTGCTACAATATTGGTAGAGTTTTGTATGTAAATAAACAAATTTGTCAGTCTTTTATGGTTGTTAAAACAGCAAATGCAAAGAAATGTGTTTTATGTGTAATGTTTATGAGAAATTTGAAAACCTCAGCTGTTAATTGCCTTCTGTTGTAGATCGGAAGAGTTTGGCTACCTCTGATATGGTCATTATACTTGACCGATGAATCACTCATAAGGCAGTTCCACTTCCGGTCGCGAATTCTCGGCTAAAGTAGTCACATGCATAGAAAATTAAATAAAAACCAAATAAAGCGAAGTGAATAAAACATCAAAGAAAACCTACTCACAAAACATGCATATATCTAGTACCTAGATTATTCCGTTTTGTCCAATTAATCAGCGCACTGACTCATTCCCTCGTGAGGAGAGAAATCGGGATTGGGTGCCCCGCTTTGTTGTCCCATTGCATTAAGCTCCACTAAATCGCCGAACGCATTAGCAGCTGTTCAATGTCCCGATGCAAGGAGTCCATTGGAGCGACAAAGCGGATTAGGTTGCAATCAGGGGTTCCCACTCCGAACGCTGAAATGAGTGCGATTTTTGCATCGGTTAGACCTTAATCTTGTCAGACGCTTGAACGCTTCCCACTCACATTTGCCGACTTTTGCCAGGGTGTGGATGGTGTTCGTGAATTATTGTTGCTTTACCCAAAGTCCCCGCCGAACCCGACTTATCTCAACTGTAACTCTGCTCTCGGGGCTCTGCCCTTTGTTCCAAACAGACGCCCTCGCACGCTCGCTGAGCGATTTACTGGCCCTGGTGAAGTTGCTCCGCGAAGACGTCGCCCACCAGCGCCAGGAGATTGCCTACCTGCGGATGCTCTTGGAGAACTGTGCCGGCTGCAAGAATCCCCTCAGCAGTGACAACCAGCTACGCATTGAGCCCGACTGCCGTTCCGCAAATCCCTGTTATCCTGGTAAGTGGGAGCATAGGATTAAGTTAACATTACGGGGTTACCAAATGCTCTCTTCAACAAAATTTAAAACTTAATTTTTTAGCCAACTAATTATGCACCCATCAAATTTCAGTCGAGCATTAACTATAAAATCATTTTTTTCGAAATTGGTGACCAAATTAACTTAAAACTACTTAGCCGATGCTTCTGATATTTAGCAAATTTGTCTTTACATTATAATTCAAAATGTCTTCAAAAACTTGTGAAACGTATATAATAGATGTTATTCTAGATAATATGTATAATGATCATTAACAACAGTTTTGAAGTTTTCGGTGGAACAAATTTGGGAAAGTTTTGTTTTTTTGCACTGCAACTGGTGGTTACTCCTAATCTATGTAGTAAATATTAGAATCAACATTTGTTTGCAAGCGTGAAAAAAACTTTACAAAATACTTAGAAAAGTATTTGGTAAAACATACATTAATTTGTTAAATAAATTATTTAAAAGAATATTAAAATTTGTTTTCTGAAAATGCCATTTTTTAATCAAAATAAGTTCAAAACTACTGAGCCCAGCTTTTGATATTTAGTAGATCTTTGTTGGCATAACTATTTAAAATAACATAAATAATCAAATATATGTACTTCTAGATTTTATTCTGATCCTTAAAATCAGTTTATTAGTTTTCTTTAAAACAAATTCCCGAAAGTCACCTATTTTTATGCTCTGCAACTGGGGGTAGCCCCAACATTTGTTTGCAAGCATGAAAAAACTTAATAAAATACTATGAAATATATGTGGAATTACATACATAAATTAATTAAATAAATAAATTCAAAGAACTAAAAAATACAGATTCTGTGCAATTTTTAACTGCAAATTTTCAAAAATTCTACAAAAGACTTCTTAAAAATGTAAATATTTAGTGGTATCCATGTTTTTTAATGAAAAAAATGTAATTATTTTAACAGTCATATAAGTTTTGCTGTTTTAAGTGAGCTCTGGTTATTTAAATCTTTTAGTCCATTAAAAAGTATTCAAATTGTGTAGTGTTTAAAATAAATTTGTTGAAAACTTTAAAAATTGTGTAATATTCAAAATAAATTTAAATATATTTCTTAATATTCTTTCAAAGCTTCTACTAAAAGTTTCCTGTCTCTTCCAAATATATAATCCATTTAAATATCTACATATTACACTTACATGCTGAATCTTGTATATATTTTTAGGCGTGGAGTGCCTGGACTCGGCAGCCGGTCCCAGATGTGGCCACTGCCCCCTTGGCTTCATTGGCGATGGCAAGACCTGCAAGCCGGGCGTCACCTGCGCCCACCACATGTGCTATCCGTAAGTCTGTCCTGCATCCTTGGGTATTCCTGTGCTTGTGCGAGCCAAATTAACGCGGCTTGTGGAGTTTTTAATGGCGTCAAGGGCGTGGCCATCGCATCCATGTTAATTGTATTTGTCATGCTGCGACTCTGAGGGCTTAAAAAGCGCCGCCATGCGAAGGGCTTCGCACTGTCCTGACTGTGCAATTATTTGCATTTGGCCTTAATGGCAATTTGATGTTGTTTATGGTTTGATGGTCTAGTCAAACAACAACCCAGCGACTCCTTGACAAGCTCCCCAGACCCGTTCATATGCATATCTATATCTGTGATTGATAAGCACGTGATGGCCATTCAGAAGACACATTTAGGCCTCTATTTACTCTGTGACTTCCACGAATAAAAGGGAGCAGGGACATAAGCTGGTTACCCAGAACAAAGTAAGTGGACCGGGCTTAATGGCTGTGAGTCATGTGAGTGACAGTGGAACCTGTTTTCTCGCCTCTTTCCATCTGATAAGCCTTGTAGATCGCAGATATGTCGATTTGAATGCGAAGACTTCCTAATCCGTTCATACACTGCGAGGCTTTCCATTTCTCCGCATAACGCATAATCAAGTTGGACCAAGATAAATATTTAAATTATCTTCACCGTGTGGATTTATCTATCGAATGATCTCTTTGATCTGTTTAGGATTATTAATGAGGTCAGGCAGCGAGCTCAAAATAGAAATTTGGTCATCCGAATTGGGATTCATAACTCAGTAACCTTCTGAAGGGAACCCTTTTCCAAAAAGATGGGCTATACCACCCACAGCCCATATCGAACCGGAAGAGTTCGTCACAATCGAAAATCAATAAAGTGGTAAACATTGTTCTGGCGCTCTTTATCGGCTCGCTGCCAAATTTGTGTCAATCTGAACTAATTATGCAAAAGACCCACAGCTCTGCTGGGGACCCTAATAAAAACATTATTTGGAGAGGTCTGCCTGCCAGTCAGTCATAAATATGTTAAACAAAACTATAACAAGTTATGCGTTGTAACGGAGCTGAAACTGGAGAAGAATATTTTTTAGATATGGATGGACAAAATGCAACAAAACCTTCGGCAACCCAGAGCCCATCGCTGTGGGGTCTGGACCACAAATGGCACTTGAAACAGCCGCATAAATTAGTTAAATGTGAGCCGGAATAAGGAACCCGCACCCAGTTCGGTATAGCCCCGATTCTGAGGACTGCCTGACTGCATTGTGTCAAGACACTTAAAGTGATTTCTGTTATTCTTTCCCTGACCAGAAGTGAGCGCCTATCCCCTCCTGGCCACGCGTACGGGAGTATAACATAGGAGTACTGGGCCATAAATTTGAGTAAATTATTGGAAAGGGCCCCCACAGACCGGGCTTTTGGCCCCGGTTAGAACTGTGTGTTGTAGGTGTCTAGGGATCGGTTCGACTGGGTTGCGGACAAGGTGCGCCCCTGGCTGACCGTATTTTAATTTGCATAAAATTGCCTTAAATGTTGTCACGACGCCGACTCGTTACTGTCATCTTTCATTATCGATGAGCTGTGGTCAATGTGTGTGGTAGGCCCAAATCCGAAGACCCATTCCCGCTGCCCAGGCCCGATCATTTTAATTTAGAACCACCAAATGTCATCTCAACTTGGTCATCGCTTTGTTTATTTTCACTTCTATTCAGGCTCCCATTCTTTCGGGGTCTTTGGAAGACGACGACGACCGATTCTATTAAAAGGCCGTAAAACTTGTGCTAATGACACGCACACCTGTTGATCCTTTGTTGTGGCAGTTATCGTGTGTGTTTTATGGGCGCATTGTGTTGGTCTAAAGAACCCTGTCTGCATTGATTGAAAATGTTTTATGTTTTTCAGGATGAAATAAACAGGCACAAACATGTGGGTAATTGAATGTGATCTCTTTTGGTCTGAGCACCTCTTCTTTTGCATGTTTCGTTTTCGCCCAACACTTTCCTTTTCCCAAGGCACAATCTCAGGTGGTGCTGACCACTTGAAAAGCCAATCATAACCTGGCCCCAGGCCGTTGACAGTCGGGCGCCTTCGCCCAGTGCTCACTTCTGCTGTTCAATTTAAATTATGCATTTGACGAAACAATCAGCAGTGCAATCAAGCTGCAGTCCACGAAGCGAGGGAGATTATATTACCATCTGGAGATAGGAGATAGCGACTTGGAATGTGATTCCTAGGCAGATTCGATGGCAGCTGCAACATGTGTACGAGCATGTTGAACAATTCCCGCGACAGAATTCCATTTGATTGAGGAAACTTTCCCACAGAATCTCGGAATCGGTTTCCTCGCCCCCCTCCCTTCTTTTCTCCCGGGCCCAACAAAACGTTTACGGCCACAGGTAAAAGCAGGAAAAGCCAAGATGGAAGCAGCGGCTAGCTGGTTCACAGCTTCGAAACATCAAAGTTCGGTGGAACGCATATCTCAGTGTGAATCAAGTTCGCCTACGCATCGAAAAAGTGGATCCATTGATTCCAAGTCGGGTATTCGTTGTTGTTGTCGTTGTTAGTGTTGTTGCTGTTGTTGTCGTGGCTGTTGACTCTACGGCTGTGGCAGCATTTGACTGCTTGAATTCAAATTAATAGTCGACTGGCAGCGTTTCCAAGTCGAGCCACGTTTATGCCCAATGAATTTCATGATTGGGAATTCGTTGGGTTACTTCTATTCGAAAACTTAAAAAAAAGGCCATCAGAGATTCAAATTGAGGCATCTCAGAATAGCTTGATGTTACAAAATGTTAAATCTTGCATAAAAATATATCATTTTCAATTATAGTTGTGCTCAATAGCTTTTCCTAATTTCCAAAAAAATGTCAAAACTGGGTTCGAATGTTTAGAGAATTTTTCAATAAAAAAATACAAAAAAGTTAGTTTATTTTTAAAGAATAAATATATCGTGCTTATAACATTCATCAGCAAATAGTACTTTAGGTTCTGTAATAATTATGGAAAATTTTTTTTAAATCTTTTATTTATTATTTATTTATTATATTTGTTGACTTTAAATCTTCAGATATTCTTTAGTCGAGATTATTATACCTTAAATGCCATTAAGTCGTTTTAAATTGCTTATTTCTGACTGATATCTGCAGTCTGCAAAGAAAATAGTTTTTTAAAATTACTTAAATTTTTAGTTTTGCGATATACCTTAATACAGACTATTAACTTAATCCTTTAATAGGGATTTTATGTACATCCCACGCAAGCAGTTTACAATATCAGTTCGCGGCATAAACATTTTATGACGCCGGTTGTCTTGGCCATGCGCAGGCGCAGCAATGAAAACAAAAACAAGCCCAGGCCAGGCCAAGCCAAGCCAAGATCAGGCCCGAGCCAAAGAGCTGAGGAGCTGAGCAGCTGAAGACTTGGAGCCGGAGTCGAAGTCGAAGTCGAAGTTGGAGCCCCAGCCAACCTCGCAGATAAGTGGCCTGTGGCAAAATAAACGCCGCTTTATGGCAGTTAGCTGCAGTTTGTCCAAAGCGTGCGCCACATTCGAGGATTGAGGATTGGATTGGAGGAGTGAGGATGGTGGATGGTGGCTGTTGGATGGTTGACTTGAAAGCACTGCTGGGATGCACTTCACTCCCCAGAAAGGGAGCTCTCCTTGGAGTGGCTCTTTTGTTGTTAGAGCATTTGCATGGCATGCGCTACCATTAGAAGTCATTTGGGTTGGGTTAATGGCTGAGCGGTAAAGTAAACCCTAAGAATAGGGCTTGCGTTGGCTAATAGACCATAAAGCGGGCCAAAGCGATATCTGGAATATGTGATCGGTGGGCTCTGACAAGCCCTAAGTACAATATTATCGAATTGTATAACTGGCCACACTGTGGCTCCAAACTTTTGTGCCTCCCTCCTCAAACTGCAAAGTGGCTAAAAGCCTTTGCATGCTTCAAAACCATGTTCACACATTACTCAGGCCCTGCTTCTTCACCAGTGGGACCTGCCCTCTATTCCTTCTATGGCTCCTTGGGCTGGTGTTTGAACTGGACTCGAACTCGAACTCGCCGGAGATCGGTGCTCAAGCCAGCAAATTGGAATTATGAATTATGAATGCGTGGTTAATAAAAAGAACGTCCAGAAGGAACGGCAGTCGAGACGAGGCAAGTGGGTCCGTCATGCCAACCCAATCGCTGGACGGAGGCGGCCGAAATGCTAATGCGTTCCTCGTTGCGCTTGACTGGATATTTTCCCAGCACTCAAAAGATGCCGCAGAGTCGCTCGGTCGCGGACCCAGACAATATGGTCGAATGAACTGAAACAAAGCAGAAAAGCGCAAAGTGGCGGTTAGAACAGGGGGCGGCTGGACCGAAAGATTGCGGCGGAGGAAAGCGAAAACCCCCACGCAGCATCCAAGTTGGATGGGCCTCCCCGGCCCTGACTTAGACCTCTTGCCACTTAAGTACTTAACACTTTTGGCTAATTGCGCCTGGCCAGTTAGAGGCAAGCCCCGAAATGCTTCCCCACAAGAACCCCAAACTGACGCACACTCAAACTGGCGGGATCCGGGGACAAGTGTGTTGTTGCCCACCATGGATATGCCAAAGTCGAGGGCCTGGTCTCCAAGCTGATGGATCTCATCAACTGACAGTGCAAAAAAAGTCAATACTTCAAGTGTTTTGAGTCTCGGATATTTCCCTGTGAAGTAAATCTTCTAATAATACTCTGTTTGAAACGAGAATGGCTATGAAATTTTTAGGCTATTATATCTAAAAATGCATTAATGAATAATGAATAATTGATAGAAAACTTATACAATATTATGAATAGATTTTTTAATTAACATTTTACTGAAAAAAACCAATTCTAATTTGCCAGAACAACTTTTATATGAGTTTAATTATCAAGTTTTGGTATTTATCCAATTTGTGTATCAGGCTGGGTTTTTGATAATGTTCGATTTGCAAGAGCAAATAGTTTTGATCATTAGTTTACCTAGCAATTATTAGCTTAACAGCTTTTGGTTTGTTCAAGGGTATTAGGTCGTTGGCAAGTTCTTTTCTTAGCTTCAACATTATTACGGTTGGCTCCTCGGGCCAATTGGAAGCTAGGGCCAAAACACAGGGTCTAAGTCTTGACTGAGACTTCCGGCAGGCAAAAACGCACTGTGTGCTTAGCCATAAAATATTTGAAACTATGGCTTCTGGGTCAGTTGGGCACGGTAGTCTTGCTGATGGGTGATTTTCCTAGGAAATTGGACTGCCATGAGTTATGTCCTGACAAAGTGGGATGCAAAACGATGATGCAGATGAAGACGGAACATTGGCCGGTGGGCCAATGCAGCGTGTAACTGTAACCCCGAACCGAAGCCAACTAATGACCATGTCATGATATGTAAATATTTTGCAGAGCCATAAGCAATCCCACACTCTGGAGCATAAATAAGGAACGGTCAGAGAAATTTACATGCATGCAATGCAGTTGGATGTTTTGTGTTTTGTGTTGTGTTTTGGCCATGGGCCATGGGCCATCTGCATCGCAGCCTACACATTACTACACACTACTACCACTCGCTGCCCTGTTCCATTATTTATTTGTGTTTCGCTGGCTTTTAATAAGATTTTCTTGTAATTGTAATTTGTTTTCTTTTCGGGATCCGTTGTCCGTTGTCCTCCTGCGGGGAAATCGTCCGAAAATCCACCTGAGGAGGCGGAGGAACCCCCGGCACATGTCTTGTCGCTTGTCGAACTGCGCTTTGTCGGTGCTTTTGTGAGGGTCACATTCACATCCCCTCAGCGGGAAACGGGCAATGGGCAACCTTTTCTCTTTTCTCAGCTCAGTGGCTTTTGTGTAGCCGTTTCCACTAAGCATCATTAATAAATATGCCTTTGTATGCTCGACTGTGTCCAACATTAACAGTCTTTTGTTGCTGTTTGTTCCTGCCTGTCGGTATTAATAACAATAAACAATAAGCCCAGAACGGCTAGCACAAACACATCACATCACATCGCAAACCCCATCCTCCTGCTCGATCGCATTAACAGCAATCTGTGTCTCCCTTTGCAGAGGCGTTCAGTGTCACGATACCGTGAATGGAGCCCAGTGTGACTCCTGTCCAGCCGGCTACGAAGGTGATGGACGCACATGTTCGCTACGTAATCCTTGCCTGGACACGCCATGCCCCTCAGGTAAGTCGTTTGGGTTTGTTTTGAGCTCGCTTCCAAGTGGAGTTTTGTCTTTTCGGGGATTTTGTTGATTGTTGATTTTATGGCTAATTTGCGTTTGTCGTGCCATCAGCGTGGCAGCGAGTGGGTTGATTGGTAAACATGGGATCAGAGCAGACATTTAGAAGTTCTAAGCGAAGGGGACTTGAAGGAAGCACTTAAGTTAAACAGTTTAGTTTTATAACAAGCTTGAGGTCTAAGCCAAAAACCAGTTCGGGGACCATAGATTTGTTATACGAAAAAAGTAAAATTAATTTAAATTAAATTTGCACAAAACAAATATTAAATGTATGGTTTCTGAACCATGTGTATCATTTGTAGTTCCCAAACTTGTAATAAAATGAAACAGTTCAACTTAAATATATATAACTTTCATTTTATTAAAAGATTTAATTTTATTTGAAATGTAAAATGAATAAATATTCAATGGGTCGAATTTCTAAATGTTTTCGAACACTCAATTTAAGTTTTATAAGTTTGGACACTGGGAAGCAGGAACAATACAAATGGTTCAACTGCGGGGAAATGTTCGGTTAGTACTTGCTTTATCAAAATTTTATTTTATTTGAAAAAAACTGATTTTTATCAAAAAATTTAATTTTCATTAACAAATTAAATTATATTTAGAATGTGATTTGCAAAACTATTCAAAGACAATAATTAAGCTTGGCTTATACAATACAATAAATTTTGGAATTGTAAATATAAAAACATTTAAAATTTCAATATCTGAACTGTAATTTTTAAGCATTTTTTTTAGACAACTGAAATGGTTATGCCTTACCCATTTGAGTGTAGCGCATTCAATTCACACGATTATTTGATTTATTAATGCCCACTTCGCCTTAATTCGGGCTCTGAGGACTCGCCGACCCTTTTGATTGAATAAAAAAACCCACGAAAATTATATAGTACCTGGGATAATTTCGGGATTCCCGCGAATGTGTGAAACAAGACGGCTAATCAGAGCTCAGTTTTACTGGGATCCAGAGGCAAAGTCATCAGCAACGACTTTTGGGCGTGCTGGAATGTTGGGGCCTCATAAGGCAAGTCGCCTAATTGAATCGCGGCAAAAGTACAAAGTGCGCGATTCAATTAGCAAGTCAAGTGGGACACATCACAAATTACTTACCTACCTACTTACTAATAAACCATTCTCATTTGTATTAGGCAACATTCTAGTGCCCTCGCATAATGTGCAACACTATCAGCGGCAGAGCCAGTACACGGCCCGCAAATACTCGGTCGTAACGAACTAATCCCCAGCGGAGAGACAATCGCAACGTTTCGGCTAAGCTATGATACACACCTTAATTACATATACTGAACGTAGAAAGTGCACATATTGAATTACTGTCCTTATTAAATAGTCATAAGTTGTAAGCTCTACGATTGGCAAACAGCGGAATTCATAGTATTAACAGTCCATTTGAAAAGCCGAACGCACCACCAACGTAAAAATATCACATAATACCATATTTTTGGAAAATGTATTGTAGAATAGATTAAATGCCCAGAAAGTGGAGTCTATAAACGTGTTACAAAATTTGTTTTCCCCCGCCTGAAATCTCCCAACTATTGTAATAATATATGAATAATATAAATAAAAAATGTACGCTGTAATTTTTCGTATTTAATAAATAAACTCCACTATTGGCCACATATTTTTCTTTGTCTATCGAAATCACATACCACAACCTACTCACCTCAAAATCGCGTCATGTTTATACACTATCATTTTCTGGTCATGCCTCCGAAAAGCAATAGTGAGGTTAAGGGTAAGTGAGTTGTAGTATTCAGTTGATGTCAGGTCTTTATCTGGATCATGGAAAGAATGGGCTAAAAGCACGCAAGGAAGTCGAATTTTTTAAAACACTCGCAAATTATAATAAATGATTATAGTAAATTATATATATGAGTATAGCTATACGATAATTATGAAACAAATACAACAACGGACGCTTACTTCGGAATGCAGAATCGAACTTTAAGCAATAAAGAAAGCTAAAGTTGAGTTTCCCAACTATTAGTCCACAAAAGAATATAAATTTAAGTGGCGCCATCTGTCGTACTAAAAGTCCCACCCCCCACTAACAGTTCTTTCTGACTCTCTAAATCAGTGATCACCGGCAGAGCAGCGGCAAAGCGGCGGCAGAGATTGAAAAAAGGGGTAACTCTGTAACTTCAAAAATAATAACTTGATTTTTAAAATTTGAGTCTATCGATGGATATGACCGAAACACACACATACAGTTTCCAATAGCTATTGTCTTAAATGTCGCAGAGTGTCGTGACATATCTTTGTCATTTGCGAAATAAAATAATTAGGAATCACTAGAATCTACATGCAAAACACCAAATCTCTTGCTTCTATAGTTTCCGAGCTTTCGACGGATAGATGGCAGATAGATCGACTCGGCTATTGAGCCTGATCAAGAATATATATACTTTATAGGGTCCGAAACGTTTCCTTCTTCCTGTTAAATATCTTTCAACGATTACAATACCCAATTTTAGTCTAACTCTTACCATAAAAGACTTTTGCTATTTGTGGACGTTAGATTGGGCGTTGTCGCGTTTGAAAATAATCTATGGCATTCAATTTTTCCTAGACCTCTTCGTTCAAACGGACAGACAGACGGACATGGCTAGATACGCTTCCTTCTAGCTTTTACATACTTTTCAACGAATTCAATATACCCTTTAGCTCTACGAGTAACGGGTATGATCATCTCATCTCATTCGTCTTATTTGTGCTACCATTTTGTTTTTACCGAATAAGGAGCCGAATGCCTGCAGGTTGGTTACCCACCCCACTTCAATTGCATCTCATGTCCGAAAGGTCACGAGGTCAACGGCACCAGTTGTCGGGACGTGGACGAGTGCCAGCTGTACAGTCCCTGCGACGATCTTTCGATCTGCACCAACCTCAATCCGGGCTTCCAATGTGGTCCTTGTCCAGTTGGCTTCGATGGAGTCCACGCTCATGGTTACTACGCGGACTACTACCCCGTAGATTTTCGCAAGCAGACGTGCCTCGACGTCGACGAGTGCCGGACTGGTTTCTTCAGATGCCCGGTTCACTCCACCTGCATAAACGAGATTGTGAGTAAAATGTTTAAGGTGATAATTACAATACACTAATTGTTTTTTTACGACGGGTCATTGGCATTCATAAATTTATAAAAGTATGCGAGTTATGAAAATTCTAAAGATGGGAAATTTAAAAATTAAGAAAGAAATCGGAGATCAAACTAAAACAAGAAAAGAAGTAGCCTACTGTAACTCAAAGCTTATATACAACAGCTTTTAAATTAAATATTCTTTAAAACGACCAAATTTAGATTTTTATCCAAATTTGTATAAAAACAACGAGGGTAATTAAATTAATATTAATCTTTGAAGCAGATCATAAATTAAAACAGTTATTCTAAAATATTAATCCTTAGCTTTATCTCGAAGTAGCTACAGCTACCTGTTACGAGTAAAATAATTTAATAAGAAACTTAGATAAGAAGCAAATATGTTTGATTTGTTAATTTTTTTTTTTGGTTTAATTGAGGAAAACAATTCGGAATTTGATGTATTTTTTTTGTATAATTTACTGTTACTAGAATAAGCAACTTATGTTACAGTGAGATCTAATATACTAATTCTTAATAACTAAGGTGAACAGATTTGTTATAGTTCTCTGTTTTAGCAATAATATTAATTAAAATAAGATCAATTTTTGAGAAAAACAAGTCCACTTCTTTCCCTAGGGCTCCTACAGATGCCAGTGCCACGAAGGATATGTGACCAATGGCACCTACAGCTGCCTGGACAGATCGTCGGTGTCCGTGTGTCCGGATGGAACTGTTTGCGACCGCAATGCCGTGTGCCTGGGGATGGACAACCTGCGCCACCTGTGCCACTGCAACGTGGGATGGGCGGGCAACGGACTGGTTTGCGGAAGGGACTCCGACATGGACGGGTGGCCGGACCAGTCGCTGAGATGCCCGGAGCTGCACTGTCGGCGGGACAACTGCCCCAAGCTGCCCAATTCGGGCCAGAAGGACTCCGACCTGGATGGGCACGGCGATGGCTGCGACGACGATGCGGATGGCGACAATGTCCAGAACAGCCAGGACAACTGCTGGCTGGCCTACAACACCGAGCAGCTGGACTCGGACGGCGACAAGGTGGGCGATGTGTGCGACAACTGTGTCCACAAGTACAATCCCAGGCAGCTGGACACGGACGGAGACGGCCTTGGGGACGAGTGCGACGGGGACATCGACAACGACTCCGTACCGAACGAGCTGGACAACTGCCCGGAGCTGCCGAACCCCAATCAGGCGGATGCGGACGGCGACGGCGTCGGCGATGGCTGCGACAATTGCCCGAATCTGCCGAATCCCGACCAGAAGGACCGCGACATGGACTTCGTGGGCGATGCCTGCCACAGGGACATCGATGGGGATGACGACGGAGTGCCGAACTCGCTGGATAACTGCCCCATGGTCAGCAACTCGGACCAGCTGGACACCGACGGGGATGGGACGGGCGATGAGTGCGACGACGACATGGACGGCGACGGCATTCCCAACTACAAGGACAACTGTCCGCTGGCCAACAACCCCAAGCAGGAGGACTACAATCGCAACGGCAAGGGGGACTCCTGCGAGGATGACGAGGACGTGGACGGTGTGCCCAATGCCATGGACAACTGTCCGAACAACTCGATGATCCACCACACGGACTTCCGCACCCTCCAGACGATCCCCTTGGACCCCAAGGGCCTCTCGCAGGCGGACCCCAACTGGGTGGTCCATGCCAACGGCACCGAGATCGTCCAGACCCTCAACTCGGATCCGGGCCTGGCGGTGGGCAAGGACGCCTTCGGGGGCGTGGACTTCGATGGCACCTTCTACATCAACGACGACACGGACGACGACTTTGCCGGCTTCGTGTTCAGCTACCAGAGCAGCTACAAGTACTATGTGGTGCAGTGGAAGAAGGGCTCGCAGACCTACTGGGAGCCCCGGCCCTTCACCGCCTCCGCGGCCCCCGGCATCCAGATAAAGCTGGTCAACAGCACCGACGGTCCGGGGCCAGTGATGCGGAACAGCCTGTGGCACGAGGGAAACACCGACGGAGAGGCCAGGCTGCTGTGGAAGGACCCACTGAACATGGCCTGGAAGGAAAGGACCTCCTACCGCTGGACCCTTGTGCACCGCCCGGCCATTGGCCTCATACGCTTGCAGTAAGTGATAAACACAAAAACAAAAAACATTTGTAAAATCAATCATTGAATTAATTGTTTAGACTCTAACAAACTGCAGTGTTGGGGTGTACTTTTATACTTGTACCTAGGTACATACGAATCTATATACAATTTTTTGATACCTTATACCTTCCCTAGGTAAAAACATGTGAGGCTTCAACTTTGCCTAAGTAAAGATTTGTGTTTATCTTAAAAATTACCTATGTTGGGTATTTAGGTACTGAAATATTTGTATTTATTTTTATTTTCAAATTAGCCTCATTCCACTTATTTTAATTTTGTATTATTTTTACCAAAATATTTGTAAAAATATCATTATTTCAATGCAACGTGAAAAGCCAGAGCGTACGTTCATCTACAACTTCGTAAAGAACAAATTGAACTCAAAATTAAAAAATAATTTAGTTACAAATTTTGCACCATTTACCTGAAATTTGACAAATTGTGTTCCTTTTTTTCTACCTAAGTACTTATTTTCTCAAATACCTAGGTTCAATGAACTAGTACCTTTCCCAACACTGCCAAACTGCAAAGTATAATAATAGGTCTTTGCGTTGAAAATGGTAGTTTACCTATAAAATGTTTAACTACACCGACAAATTGTCGTAAAAAAATGTTCTTTAACTTTTTCAATTGCAGTTTTATTCACAAGTTAATTGTTTTAATCTTAGGTTGTATTTGAGATCCTAAAATCAACATTTAGTAAATGTAAACAACAAAACAAAGCATACTCTAACATTACAGAGATAAAGTTTCGACAATTTTCTATTAAAAAATATCATTTTTAGTTCAGAATAATACAATTGAAAACAACAAAATAAATTTAAAAAAAATTAAAAATAGTTTTTTATACTAATTTAGTTTAAAAATTTTTATTGTACATTACATATGTTTTTTTCTGTGTATGGCTAAGGCTTCAAGTTTATACGTCCTTAATCTCTATCCCATCCATCCCACAGAATGTACGAGGGCAACCGCCTGATCATCGACTCGGGCAATGTGTACGACTCCACGTTGAAGGGCGGACGACTGGGCGTGTTCTGCTTTTCGCAGAGGATGATTATATGGTCCAATCTGCAGTACAAGTGCAACAGTAAGTGAAGTCCAACAGGGGATTCTTCAACCTAACCCACCTTTCGTCTATGTCTCCCGAAATAGACCGCGTGAGGGCCCCGATCTACAACGAACTGTCCGAATATCTCAAAACGAAGGTGGATTTGCAGGACTGAAGAGAACCCCGACCGTCCCTGCCTTGCCATCAGTTTTAACCAAATTAAATATATTTGCTACCACTAAGTTAATAAACGAGATGCCAACCGAGTTGGCCATGTCAGACGTGTTTTCCAACACTCGAAAGGGCAGGCCATGACTCGTAGAAACTCAGACGACGACGTCTGCCAAACTCATTAGTTGGCCCTATCTCAGTTAGACGAACACACATACCCTAGGGAAAATTTGGGTTGTCGAAGTAAGGATAATACATAGCGAAAACACCGTACACACAGCAGTCAAATCGGATTTCCGAGTAAAATTCAGACAGTTCTGCTAAAATTTGTTAAGGGTAAGTAAGACCAGAGACCCGCCAGCGGGTTGATGTTGATCCACATTCAGTTCGTTTCATTTGGGCCCAGTCCTGATAGCAACGATGGCCAGCTGCGATATGCAAGAGACTCCGTCCCAGGAGGAGTTGAAGAAGAATGAAATCATCAAGAATGTGAAAAATTCGGTAGAAGGTGGGCCCTTAAATTTAAAATCTAATACCGATACCGATACCGATACTGATGCAGATCCGACGACCTCGTCGGGGAGTGAGCTGCAGCAATCGGCCAGTTCGGTGACAAAGCTGACAAAGGTGACAAAGATTCCGGGGCCTGTTCTTCGCCAGAGCAGCAGCCGCCTGTACAGCTCAGTGGTTCGCCTGTCCAAGCAACCCAGCTCCTTCGAGGACCAGCAGGTGGCCGACGACTCGGGCATCCACATGGACTCCTCGATGACCGAACTGGAGGCACCGCTGTCGGTCAGACCTAGTCCCATACTGCAGGCGATTCTCGAGCGGATTCCGGGCTCCAGCAACGAACTGGAACTTCAGCAGGCCGAGGAACAGACCCTCAAGGAACTTCAACGGGTTGTCGCCGAAATGGAGGCTGAAGTGGCCCTAGATGACCTGGATATGCAGGAGCTTCAAAGCGCTGTCGAATCCGAGCCGCTTGGTCAAAACGAAGCCCAAGAGGATTCCGATCTCTATACGAGTCAGCTTTCTGCAAACGAAACTTGTCAGAAACCACTGCCCAGCGATCCTAAGCTGGAACCTTCAAATGAGAAATTGACGGAGGACCATTTGCAAATGCAGAAAGAGGAATCTGTGGACGAGAAAGAATCTGCAGAGAAGAAAAAGGATGCTGAGAAGGAAGAGACTACTGAGAAACAGGAGTTTGTGGAGGCTTGTGATGCTTTTGACCAATTGGCTCAAGAGCCAACTCAAGAGCACCCACAGTTCGTTCCTGAAGAAACCGCCCAAGAATCTGGGGACCGGGAGCAGAAGTCTGTACCCGATTCGCTGCTGGAGGAACTCGAAATGGCCATAACCGAGGAGGAGCGATTCTTCCGGGAAGAGCTCGAGAGGAGCCGGGAAATGCTGGGCCAGAAGTTTCAACGCCCAGCGGATGAGATACTTTCCACCACTTCGGAGGAGGGACTAGGAGTCCGACCCTCGCTGGCCAGCAGCCAGAGCGACCGCCGGATGGTGCCCTTGGAGGAGCTGTTGGATGCGGAGCACAATGTGGAGCTTCTGCGTCAGCTGCTGCAGACCGGAGCCGAAGAAGCCACCACTGAGGAGCAAAAGGAGACGAAAGCGGCAGCGGAAACCGAAACCGAGACCGAGACCGAAACCGATTCGGATCAGAATCCGGCCCAAAAAGAGACTAACAAGCTGCCGAGTTTCTTGCGGCGCCTAATGAGTAGCAAAATCCTGCAGTTCAGCTATCCCATACTGTTCTGCAGCGTAGCTTTTAGTTTGATCTACCTTTCGCGCAAGGAGTAGGCGACCGTTTTGGAAATGGTAGTTAGAATATATATACAAGCAGAAACAACAGATACGACTCCGGTAAACATGTACTTATCGTACAAAACAATTCAAAATCGATTGACGCATTGGCACAGAGTTGCCTTTAACGAAATATATTTTCAAATAAATAAGAACATCAAAAGCAAAAGCTTACACTGTTGCCATTTTGTAAGTTTTATAAGTGTATTTGAATAAATGCGCCAATTACTGAACCTTCTTTTGAAAACGAGCGCTAGGTGGCGGTAGTGGGCAGAACAAACAGTGTTGGAAACGAACGCTGCGGTCGATAAGCAATAATCGATATGCTCTAACGTAAGTTTAAATTCTGATTTTACATTTGTTTTCAATACCTTTCTTCAGAGTCTTAAAACTATTAGAGACAACATCTTGATTACTAGAACATAATATTTTATAACAAAATAAAACATGAAAGGAAGGAAGCAAATAAAAACAGGCTATGATAATTTTCAGCTCAATTATTCGATCGTTCTTTTGTCAACAATATGATATTGTTTTCTGATTTTAATAAAAACAAAAGCGTAATTCAAAATTATTAAACCATTACTATATAGAAAAGATTTATTTTTTTAATTAAAAAAAATTAAAGTTACATTTTATTTCATTCATTTTTTGTAATATTTCGATTGTTTCCATGGGAGCTTTATTTTATGGTCGGCCTATTTTAATAAAATTATACCGTAATTCTAGAATATTAAAATAGTACAAATTATCCAGGAATAAAAAAGGTAAAAACTGCAAGGTTTTAAGTTTTTTTAATTTATTTTTCTGATTGTTCCTATGGCTATAGTCGTCCGATCCGGCTCGTTCCGACTTATCAAACTTCATGCAGATAGCTATAAAACTGAGACGGACGGACAGACGGACATGGGTAGATCGACTCTACTTTACATGGTCGGAGATGTCTCCTTCTCTGCGTTGCAAACTTCTGACTAAATTTTATATACTCTCTGCAAGAAAATGCGAGGGCGGTTGTGCTGCTCGCTCGTTTTTGAAATTAGTTAGCAGATTAAATGGTATCTTTAAGTCGGTGCACTCGACTAAAGCGTTGCATCTTATTTTTCTTTTTGCCAACAAGTTAAATTATTATAGTTTGAAATTTATAAAATTATGTCGTAATTATTGAGCATGCAAAAAAAGTTTAAGTGTTATAGGTGCAGAAACATTTCTTAACTTTTACTATTAATTGATTATTATTGATTGTCCAAGAAACTTATATTTAAAATTTAAATTAAGAAACAACAATATTATTTTAATCTTTGGGTATCATATTTTGAAAGCAAATAAAGTGAATCACATTAGCTATTCAAAATACAACTCACTTTCGAAAAATCAACTTATCCGCAAAGTAAACTTTTGAATTTATTCCCAATCTCATACCTTTTTACCAAATCGTTTTGTTTCCAAGAAAATTATAAGTTCAGAGCGTTAACGCCGAGTATGACTTCCCTGGCGTGTGTCTTTATTGCTGGCCTAACCCACCTGGTGAATTTATTTGCCTCGTCGTCTTCTAATCCGGAAATCCCCGGTCCACAGTTCCCCACTCTGATTGTGGCCATTGCTGCGATGGATCTCATCTGGGACAACTGCTTCATTCCCCAGCGACTCAACGTTCTGCCGGCATTCGTCAAGCGGATCTACGAATTGGCAGTGGCTTTCCTTCTGCTGGAGATTGCCATCCACGTCCTGTGGAAGACGTTGGAACAGTGTTGCTTTCTGCTCGTCAAGATCTGGCTGCTCGCCACGGGCCTCGTGTCGGAGTCCAGCTACGAGAAGTACGAGGTTTACTGGGTGGGCAGCGTAACAGTGCCGCTGGCCTTCCTGATCCTGGCGTTCGCGGGCCAGGCCACCGACCACTTCCACATGCTGCACGATTGCTTAATTGAGGAGCGGACAAGGGTTCAGCTGCAGGCGGACGAGACTCTTAAGTATCTGGAGAAATGTCCGAGGGCCCTCAAGAAGAGGGTACGCAACTGCGTTCCGGCTCTAAAAAGGCGCAAGAACTTGACCAGCAATCGGAACAACCAATAAATAGCAACGTCTCGTGTTCAATTAGATTCGTTTGTTTCTTTTATTTTATACAAGAAAATTTATAAAATTAATTGTCATACATAATAATTAAATTGCTTTTATTAAATTACAAAATAACGACTATATTTGATTTGCTTTTTACAGCACTCGCGAATTTGTTCAACAAGCTTGGACAATCTATATGGTTGGAAAAATCTATGTTTATATATAAGTATATGTGTATTGCAATTTGGTACCGTGTCGAGCATGGTGTTATCGAGTGTCGTGTGTAGGTAAATAATACTTAAGATTAAAACAATATTTAATTCATTATATTACGCATAAGTTCGACTTAATTTCATGTAGTTTGCATACCTAAAGAGCACAAATGGGAATTACTAATTACGCCTTGTCGCATCGTATCGCGTTTTCAATCAGCTCTCAAAGCCTTGCATTAAGCCACGTAATATCCGCGATTGGGACTGAAGATGGATCGAAGACGATTAGACGATCGCAGCTATTACGTTGATTCAATACAAGGCTCTCCAGTGAGTATTTGTGGGGCAGTGTTCGATCACTGTTCTGACAGTGAGCTTGTCGCTACAGCCCCTTCGTTATTTATGACCACATTTTACATTAAAGCAGCTTTGTTATCTGTATTTTAACTCTTCTAAATCGAGACTCGTTGTTTTACTGCACTTCGCTATCACTATCACTCTTTTCTGAAAGTAAAGCAACAAAAATATTAGTTAAGGCAGGTGAACAGAGGGCGGCTTGGGGACCTACCCTTCTTGCCCGTGTAGGCGTGGCGTTTCAGTCGGTCGTATAAGTCTTCTTTAGTTCCATAGAGCGAGGCGTTGGACCTGGCCAATGTGCTCATCTTGCCGCCGTGCAGACCTGATAAAAAGTTAACATTAGGAAAGAGTAAACCAAAAAAGTTGTGGTTTAGTGATTTATCTATTTATTATTTCTAATTCAAACAGATCAAATTTCCTTAAATTGTCAATATATATATATATATTATATTTTATATATATTATATTTTATATATAATATATTATATTTTATATATATATTATATTTTCTTATTAAAGTCTTGAGTAAATATTAAAAACATAATGGGAGACACTGCAGTGTTCATGAGGAAGATCTACCGACCCGAAGGTTTGTGGTACAAGATGGTACACAAATCTAATAAAAAACTTAGTTGAAACGATTCTGATATGAAGGTTGAAATAAAACGCCTACAAAATGAATGGTGTATCCGGATTGAAGGACCAATTCTCTTATAAACTTTAATGTTCATTTATTTTAGCTTCAGAAGAATGACCGATAGCAAAGACAACACTATTTTATTAACTATTTACAGACGTGATGTAGATTGTACAAAAGTAAACAATCTTGGTAGAAACCAAATGGACTCAAATATAAAGATGAAATAGATGAGCGAGTGTCTGAGGCAAGTTTCTGAGTGCAAATTTCTCTTTGCAGCGGCAAATGGGACAAACGAGAAAAAAATGTTTGTCGCGCGGACTACTCACCATCTTTCATGTACGTTTCGTTGTAGAAGTTGGGCATCTCCCAGCCGTCCTCCTCGTCATCGTAGTAGTGCGCATAGGTGCTGTGGTGGGAGGGTGCGATGGACTCCGCGTAGGGAGTGTGGGCGCCGTAGTAGAAGTTGACCTGGGAGCCGGTCTGGTCGATGGCCGGCGTCAGCATCTTCTTGGGGTCGCGGCGCTTCGTCGAGCGCACGCAGATCATCCAGATGAGTAGGACGATGATGATAATGAAGATCACGGCTCCGGCGATGCCGCCGGCGATGTACGCGAACTCGGAGCGCTCGGCGCAGTGTGGTCCCGTGAAGGAGCCGACACAGCGGCAGGATGGCGTGCCCTTGAGGTCCTTGACGCAGGCGCCCGAGTTCTCGCAGAAGCCGTCGCACACGTCCGTGCAGGCCATGCCGGTGCCATTGAAGCCCGGCTTGCACTCGCACTTGAAGTCCGATGTCTCCGGCACCATGATGCAGTAGGCGTTCGCGTCGCAGTGGGGCTTGCCCTCGGCAATGTGCTCACAAGGGTTGGTGCACTCACTCTTCGAGGTGGCGCCGCTGATCTTGGTGCTGTGGTTGGGCGGACACTGCACACAGGCGGTCTGCTGCGACTCGGCCTGGTAGAAGCCCTTGCGGCACTCGATGCACATGTTCAGCGTGGCGTTCAGGTACGTGCCCGCCGAGCAGACGGGCAGGGTGCACTCCTCCACGGAGCTGGCGCCCGCCTTGGGCGTGGTCCGGCCCAGCGGACAGGCGGCGCAGGATGGCTGCACGCCCTGCAGGCGGTACGTGCCCCGCGGGCACGGCTCGCAGCGTCCGTCGGCGCCCAGCTGCTGGCCGGAGCTGCACTCGTCGCGGCACTCCTTGCGCGACGTGGCCTCCGTGGAGCGTGTCGTCTGGCCCAGACCGCACAGCTCGCAGCCGAAGGAGCCCTCGCTGGGCTGGTAGAAGCCGTGGCCGCAGGAGCGGCACAGGCCCGTCTCCGCGTCGAAGTACTTGCCGGCCGGGCAACGCTCCTTGCAGTCGGCCGCCGAGCGGGCCCCAGGTCCCGCCGTCACTCCCGGACGGCCGGCGATCACCGGGCACTTGCTGCACTGCTGCTGGCCTGCCTCCGACTGGTAGCTGCCGCGGGCACAGGCCACGCACGTCTTGTTGGCACTGTCGTAGAAGGTGCCGATGGCGCAGGGCACGCAGTCGGGAATCATGACCACCTGGCCCACGGGACAGGCGTACTCCGAGCCCAGTTCCAGCGAGGCCGGGTCCGGCACCGTGTTGGGCAGGATCTCCTGCACCGCGAACTGGTCATCCTCGAGGATGAGCTTCTCGAGCAGCTGCTTCACACTGGACCGCTCGCCCGTCGACGTGTGCACTACAGGATCGCTGTGGAGTGAAGGATCGGGATGAATTAGTTGCGATCACATGACACTTTCTAAGTCGTACGATTAGGAAACATATGTTAATGTCCGGATATGGTGTTTTTGGGCAAGTATCACATAAAGACTGCAACGATTTTCTCTTTTCTATTACATTTAAGATTTCAAGCACAGGAATTCTCGGCCTAATATCTCAAGAATGTTGTGTCTAAATTTCGAAATTCGAAATTTTTAATTTCTACGATTTTTATGTTACAACTAT